CTGTCTGTCAGAAATCATAGCACGTCAGCTGTCTTAACCGCGGCTTGTGTACTGCATCATCACTGTGTCTGTCACGCGACTCTGTTGTCGGGCTTGAACTGATGCTAAAACTAACGACATTATTAACTATCTTGATATTTACTTTGAAAGCTTAAGCTCGCGATTATGGTAAGGAGCGTTACATTTCCGACTCGTGCTTGTGGTGTTCCGCCACTCACAATGCACTGGTTCAGCTGGCCAATCAGAGCAGACTGTGCTTGTCAAAGGAGGGGGCTTTGTTGAAAACGACATGTTTGAGAGAGGCGGGACATAGAGGACCTACAATAATGTACAGTATTTGAAAAATAATGTGTTTTTTGAACATTAAAGCATGTCAACATATTCTGTTACACCAAATACACAAAATAATGATCTTTAAGATAGCATCATATGACCCCTTTAAGAGGAATCAGTATCATTCAATCAAGTCGTGATGAAGTAGTGACAGATCATTTCATTTCCTATTGTGACACACATCCAAGTGAAAAGGATTACTGAAAAATAAAAAAATGTAGGACAGTGATTTGAACAAGAGCTTGAAGTCCACTGAAAGAAAGGGGTCGGGTATGAGCGATGAAATTAATAAAAATTCCAAGGTCAAAGATAAAATATAACCTAGACTTTTTAGAGCTGAAAAAAATGAATACAAAATACATTATGCTAATATTAGTTATATTTCCCCTTGTGGTAATGCTTGAGAATTAATAAACTGTGGTCGGACATTTCAGAATGCTGCAAGACATGAAATAAAGAGTTTGTGTATTTGCACTGGGTTTTATCAGTAAGAACTTCACTCTCTCTTCTTTCTCAGTGAAAAATATGGAAACGACATCATTTGAAGTGCACAACGATCAAGAAAGGAAATATTTCATGTCTTCAATCAAGCTTATTTTGGAGATTATTTTTCTCTCTTACACAAATGGCTCCCTGCTGGCTCAGGATGGCAATGACAGAACCATTACCTGCTCAGCCATTGAGAACAAGACAAAGTGTCATGTTTTAACAAACCCCAGGGTTTAAAAATGGAATTTATGTGGTATTGTCGTGTATTAAGAACCATTATGAAACTCTCTAGCAGCTTTATGTACCTCTTATGTGCGGCTTCAGCTGGGGCGCGCAGCCAAAAACTAGAATGAGTAGAGGGTTAAAAACAGCCAGCGCAGCACATACATACACATACACATACACACACACACACACACACACACACAGAGTGTGATTCAATATTGCCTTGGTACAGCTCTGTGGGTGGACAAGGCTAATGTTCTTCCTAGCTCTCACACACATATACACACCATAATCATCTCGCTCTCATCTGCCTCCAACGACTGCAATCTTTTTCTCTCTCACTCTCTTCATCTCTGTTTTTATGTCTTCCTCTCTTTCTCTCTCTCAAAGAGATCTGGAGTGGCGAGCTGTAAGCGAGCAACACGCTCTTATGTGAAACATCAATAAGAGGCCAAATGGAAATGAGAACAAACAAACAGGATTAAAAAACAAGACAGTTTATAAAACAAAATAACATGTCATATCCAAGATATATATATATATATATATATATATTTAGTGCCCTTATAATATTCAACATGAGTTTACAAAGATCATCAAAGGCAATTAGTCTATACTCTAGAGAGCATCTGTCTCAGGGAGAAAGAGAGATGACACATAAGCAGTGAAATGAATAAATGAGCTAATGAATAAGATGATAAACAGATAAGGCTTTCCCTGGAGAATAAAGGAGGACAAATTGAGAAAGGAATGACAGTGGGAAGGAAGGTTGGTGAAGAGGTGGCCTCTGGCTTTTCAAAGATTGTGAAACGAGAGAATTTAAAATGAAAAATACAAGATAAATATGAGTCGGGGTATGTCCGTAAAAGTGTGATGAGTGATAGGACAGAACATACACTGCAGCATAGCAATGGAAAATATATGCCAATATATGCCAGTGTTCACTGAAAAACCCATATGAAACAAAGAAATGTCAAATCAAATTAGTCTACAAAACCCATTTGAATACAAACTGTAACTGCAAAATAGTAAAGTGACTGGCATTTTTGGCAAGGTGTGCTCATATCAATCTTATTCATTTATATATGTTTGTATGACATGATCATTCTCTTCAATGTGTTTTAAGGATTACTCTTTTCAAAGAACAGGAAATTATGCTTGCATTATTACCATACATTGCTCATCATGACAACGTTACAATGTATGTCATGTATGATAAAAAAAGCATCCAACATCATTATTTGATTATGCAACTGTATTAGTGTGCCTTCATGGATGTGCAACTAAGCTACCACAGCTAGACTACTTACTATCTGTATCTGCTACATAAAATACCCTCGTAAACCAACTTAAGATTGGAAAATGAGGAAACAGTTGAGGAAATATTCTGAACATCATGCAGCTATCTGACCAGGGATAAAGCCATTAGGCACTAAAGTAATGCCCATCAGATCCAGTATACGGTTATTAAAATGTAAGCATTACTATATCAAGTTACATCATTAACCTGCAACCTCATGAATGCAGACACCAATAAACATTAAGAAAGATTTGCTCCTTGCCAGTGTACAGCAAACATCTGGCTTTATGCACAAGTGTTCTTCAGCTGCTTTATTCGACAGCTGGTTTTACAGTATATTCATCAGCCAATGACAAGCTTCTGTTAAATTTGTCAGATTTTTCTAGCCATGCATATTCGTTGCTTTGTGTTTACCCAATAGCTTAGATCATTACTATTTAATATTTTGGTTTCTGTTATGATTAGCATTTATGTCTCATTTACATAAGCAACCCAACCATCAAATGGCTGCTGTTATGATTATGTAATAGAGGCATTTAAAGATGATTTTACAAAATTCAGGCACTAGCAAATAACTTCACCTACTTCTATGCCAAGTTTGATGATCTGGCAAGTCTAATGTTATTTAAAAGTGATCCTTACAAGAACGGAAACTGAGATGACCACAGGTGAGCTGGAGAGCAGGTTGTTCTCAAGTTCAAAAACAATACAACGAAACTACAAACCACCTCGTTTGTGTGCAATTCTGGCTAGAGAGCCGACCTCTTGCGATAGTCTAAATGTGTACATGACAGTGTGTGAGAGACGTGGTGTGTGGGTGTTATATAGGACAGCTATCAAACAATGAGCTCAAGTGAATCATCGTGCTCTTTCTCTCTCTCCAAGGGCAATATCAGATGCATCACACCCTGGAGAGCCGTGCCCAGGAACTCACTGTACCAACACACAAAGTTACGGCCAGAGCTCTAACGTTTATGGCTTATTCACAACCCCACTAACACACTTAACTGCTTAAGTGTCAAAAGAGGGATGAATTGGGTCCTTTACTATTTACTTCAAGTCCACAAGGCTCAAATCAGTTGTTTAGGAATGATGCATACCTTGGTATTCCTAAGCCACAGTTAAACTACCAGGGTTATTATAATTTACTAAAACTAGCAGAAATGCTTTTGTTCATTGAAATAAAACTGGAAAGTAAAATATAAATATTAGATGAAAAATTGGAAATGTTGCCGTGGCAACTAACTAAATGACTGAAGTCTGGCATGCATCATCAGACAGAAATCTGTCATTTGAAAGGAAGACGATTTCGATTGAGGCTAAATGACAGGTCATAAGTGCCATAAGTTTAAGGTAAACTACTAACTGGAAAGAAATCAAACTAAAACAGAAATTAAAATAATTTAAACCTAAATAGCATTGTTTAAAAAAAATGAATAAAAATAACAAAACCACATAAAATTAATACAAAATTAAAATGAAAACTGAAAATATAAAACTAAATATAATTTTCATAAATAGCAATTTAACACCAGACATTTAGTGAATGTTTTGATCTTTGTGAATGGCAGATAAGTTTCCTTATCTATATGCAGGAATTCACCTCATTAGTGAGCGTAATTAGCCCAAAGACACTGGATTAGCCACCTGCTAACATGCCACTAAGCTAGATGACTAGATTAGCCTTCTGCTCGCACATGAACTATGCAGGGACTATTCTGGTATACAACATATGCTATGTATTCTGAGGTTTATATATACATGTTATTGTTCAAAGGTTTTGGGTCAGTATGATTTATTTATTTTTTTTTAAAGAAAGAAATTCATACTTTTTATTACGAGATGCATTAAATTGATCCAATGTGACACAGTAAAGATTTATAATAATTTGATTTAAAATAAATGCTGTTCTTTTTTAACTTTCTATTAATTACAGAATCCTACAAAAAAATTGATCATGGTCTCCACAAACACACTATTTTATTATGTAATAAAAATTAGTTTTAATATATTACTGTTTGTACTTTTTTTTTAATCAAATAAATTAGGGATGCACGATATATCGGCCACCATATCGGTATCGGCCAAAATTTTCATATCGGTGCATCCCTAAAATAAATCCATCCTTAGTGAGACTTTAAAAACATTTGAAAAAATCTCTCTGTCCCTAAACCTTTGAACGGTGGTGTATGAGGTAAGAGATGAATTGTTGCTAAAACATACTAGGCAGGTTTCCTGCTAAAACAGACTTTGGTAAAGGATTATCATCTTCTTGCCATGAAGTCTGGATTAATGTCAAGATGATAATCTGCCCACTTCTGCATACTAACTGGGCAACTAATTTTCTCCCTTCCCAAAACCGACTCAATCGTTGCTGTAAAAATATCTGATATATCCATTAACCAAGACTTTCCAGCATCTGGCCTGCAGGGAATGTTGAGGGTTTTGTCCAAGAAATAAAATTAGAAGCCATAAAAACTAACAGTCCACTGAATCATTGTATCACATTTGTATTGTATGTAAACACAAAAAGAGAGATGGCCTAAATGGAAAGCTACACTAATGTTTTGCAGGGTATTCCCCATATAACAAGAGAGCTATTCTAAGATTACAGAGCAAGCCTATTCAGTGTCAACACTTATTTGCAAGGTAGGCCCTCCCAAACCACAACTGTGCGTGAGAGAGAGAAAGCTAGACTTACATATACACACATACAGAAATACAGAAACACTTCAGGCCTGGATTATTAGATAACACAATACAGGCCCAAGATTAAACTGCTCACAGAACATAATCAATCACGAGCTAGTAAACCTTTAAGATTATTACTTAAAAGCTCGCTGATGTGTTTACACTATCCCTCATAACCCATAATAATGGCACCGATCAGGCTGTTATGATTTGTTTGGGTGTGAAGGCCTCTGGCAGGTGCAGGCAGGTGAACAGTAACTCACCCGCAGGGCGGCCAGGTCGATGTCATCCAGACTCCGCGTAGGTGCGTTTTCTGACATTTTTACAAGATTTCCGAAGGAAAATTCAAAATAGGTACTCCAAAAGTGCAGCTACGACTGCGCTATTATTTTTATCACAATGTTTCTTTCAAGGGACAGTTCAGAAAAACTTGTGAGCTCCCTGGAGAAACATTTGGCTCGTCCCCGCCGCAACCCGTTTAACCGACAACAGCTGCAGGATTTCTGACCATAAAATGTTTGTTTCTTCTTTACCGGAGAACAAAAGGTTCTTTAAGGCCAAGTGATCCGGTTCTTCAGGCGAACGTTAACCGTAGAACACCGATAAATGCCTAGCGAGCATTTATCGATGATAAAGGCTAAGGTTGAGCCTATAATCCTGAAGATTGCATGGCAACATTTACATGAGCTTGAGTCAGATCTGCCACACAGCGCTCCGTCTCTACACTCATTTTGGCAGCACTGCGTAAATTAAGACAAGCCTACCTCTGTCACAAACCGTAGATTAATATATACACGAGCCGTATAAATAACAAAATAGGTCATTCAAGAGGCAGAACTTCGCGGCAAGTCAGAAGCCGAGCTCCTAATCAGCGGCGCTCGTGATATCCGCGTCAATCTGTCTCTGCCGTCATGTTACGGCGCAACCCACGCACACGCCTTAAACAGGATTTCTGTGTGGATTTCGATGTCACTGCTCGGCTCAGTGAATGTCCACAGTTTCAAAAAGTCTCTGCAATGTGTACAGGATTGGAATGCGCAGTCCTGGTGTCAAAAACAAGAAGCGTTTACGTCGAATAATATTCCGCCCGCCTGGCAAACTTTCATCCCCTCCTGCCGTCAGTCAGCGGCACCTCCCGGTTGTGCGCAAAACCTCCGCCGATTTGTTGGAGAGAAAGAGAGGGGGAAGAACGGAAAACCATAAACAGTTCCTTGTTTTCAGCCCGGACCCTTTATGGCAGCGACTGGTCACGATGCATACATAATATTTATTATTATTCAGATATTCCCTAACGAGTCGCCTCGGAAATCAACTTTTTTCCTTTTGCTTGTAATGTTGTATGTTTTGATGTGTCAGATTGAACTTCTCTCTCCTGTCTTGGTATGATCCTATTCCTACTTCTGCTGTCTGTGGTCGGGATGTGACGGCCCTCCTCTGCAAGAATACTGTTTTCCAGCCACTTTCTGTTTTTTTTCTTCCTCCCTCCCCTGCACTCCTCTCTCCCGTCTTCCTGGAGTGTTGAAGTGCTACGGTGCTGCAACAGGGACAAACTACCTTAATAATCTAGTTACAATGGAGACAGGTTGTACCGGGGTAAAACCTCCCTAACTATTGCAACATCACATTTTTTCCCCCTATAATTTACTTTGTTGACTTCTATTGTCTTTATAGTAAGTTGACCTTTTATAGTAATTTCTTTAATTACTTACCGTTCACCTTACCTAAGTCTAACCCTTTTTAGCACTAAGTTAAGATATAATTTAGTATGTTTATATTTCACCCCAAAAGTTAACATTCTGTAATCATTTTCTGACCTTCATTACGGCCTTTCTACTGTAGAAATATGTAAAATAAAAAAAAACACCAAAAAAAACCCTATTTTGGTTGTGTTTTCGTCCGTATTAGAAGTCAATGGTCAGCAAAACGGTTTGGTTACCAGCATTTCTCTCAAAGTATCTTGTTTTGCGTTCAGCAGGGGAAAAACTTCAGGTTTGGAAGGACATGAGGGTGAGTAGTTTATGCGATGACTGAATTTTCTTAAAATATTTCCTCCCTTAACTATCCCTTTAAGTGGGTTTCATTATCGTTACTGATTTGTTTTTCTTTTAATATAGTTGGCTTCTATAATAGTCTCCCTTAAATTTTGTTTTCACTTAATTTATTTATTTCCTTTTCTGATTGATCTCGTGTTCACATTTTTGTTGTTCGCTCTGTACAGTGACCTTGAGTTTAAGAAAGGTGCTGTATAAATAATTTATCATTGTTGGCTAGTCCTCACTATGTAGGCAAAACCTCACACACACTTTGTACAGCTGTCTTTGTAGGGACATGCCACAGACTTACATTGTTTTTGTACTAACCAAAATATATTTTCTATCCACAAACCCAAACCTACTGAGAAAACTTTTTTTTTTTGCACTTTTACATTTCTAGATGAACATCATGTAGTATTTTTAATGTTTTTTTCCCCCCATCCCTGTTGACATTAGGTCCCCACAATGGAGGATAAACCTGTACACACAAACACACACAAGACAAAGCATCTTATGTGAATTAATACATTTATTCAAATGGAGAACAGATGGAGGAAGAAATTAATTGATTGCTCACTGGTTTACAAACAACTGTGATATGTCATTTATAGTTATTAATCCAAAAATAATGTTGTACATTTAGGGGGGAAAAAAAATCACTTATAAACCTTAGTCAGGGTAGCACCATATTTAATTTCTGACAGGAATGAAAACAAGGCTGTGACGGAAAGATGTACAGTGTGTTCAAATGATTGTACTGTTGTTTATCAAGCAATTTGTTCAGCTGACAAAAAAATTTAATAAAAATCGATAGACAAAAACTCCATAAAACAGCTTTTTTTTTTAAAATAGTGAGTTAGTTTTAAAAGAGTGCATGCCGTTGTAAAGACTGTTCACAGCATAATTTTCATCTGAAGAAAATTCAATTTGGCATCTACCCTAAGTAAAGCCTATACAGACGTCCAAAAGTTGTGAAAACACATAGTGTTAGCCAAGAGTCATGTATTAGAAAGTGAGTTCTGTATGCTTTCTAAATAAAAGCAATTGTATGTACATGAAAAGTATAAAAATGTGCAAAAGCAGATACAATAATATGCATTGACAGGTATAGAGATTTAAAAAGATCAGAATTGTCACTTCATAAAGGTGATTGCTTGATGTGATTGGAATGTTACAGTATATTAACGGCCGTGTCTCCAGTGGTCAAACCCTAAAACATTCTCTTCAAGTGCAGGTGAAGTCACCTATAACATTCTACAACATTACACAGGCAGATTAGTGATTGTTTACAAAGTGGGGCACTGACAAAATTAGCATTGCTTATTTAGCCTCTACTGTGCTCTCTACTTGTGTCAACACCCCCTCCAAAAAACCAAAAGTGGAATCTTCTGGGCCGCTGACATTATTACATAACAATAATTTCTCCTGGTTGCCATGGAGATTAGGGGGGGGGGTGATAAATGTTGAGCTGAGACTCCCCCTGAATATCTCACCATGTTTGAAGCCCCACCTGATCCCTGCTCCGTAACACTCCCCCTCTACCTGTTTAAAAAAGCATTACATAATTTCTCTGACAAAGTATGCCGGCATACCCCCCGCCCTGACGGGCACACACACACAGTTATCCATGTTTCTTCCTGCTTCTTTCTTTCGTTCTCTCTATCTCTCTCTCTCAGCAGCCAAGACCAAGTCAGCTCTTTATACCCGTCACCATAACAACCACAAATGTTCTGACAGATTTGCTGCCACTGCATTGAGAGGTGTAGTGCACACAAGAAAGAAATAAAGAGAGGGAAAAGAAGGTAAAGCAGCACCATCCACCCACACACATTCACAACAATAAATGTACGTTCTGTTCATCAAAAATACTCTCTCTCTTTCGCCTTATTCGCTCTTCTTTCCTCATCTGATATGCAGCACTTTAAATCCTCTGCCATTTTAAATACTCAGATCATGGCATTCGTGGTCGTAATGGGCATTTGGGGAGAAGACTGATGTCATTTCATTGTATCTTCATATAATTAGCAACTACACTATGTGATTCTCCTGGTATAGGCATGTCTATCTTCTTATGCAAGATCATTTTGTGTTTCTACACTAATTTGGGTTAGTGTTCAGAGCTAATCATTCATTTACTACCATTACTTTAGTCCAAACCAAATTGGACAAAATGTGTGGCAGTAAACCTCCATAGCTTCCAGCTTAGTTAGCAGATGTGTGATATTTTAAGCTCTGAAATCCCACTGGCACACTTCACTGGATACTCTTCCCTGCTATGTCCACACCTCCATAGGAACCATTCGTTCTTTGCTTTTAAGAGGTGGGAGAAGGTACTCCTCGCACAGGAAGTGCAGCGGGAAATGGACCAGAATGCCCTGGATGGCCTGTAGTTCTTCTTTGGCTTTCTCCGGGTAGGTAAGACTGAGGTTTTCAGCATTCACGTGTTCCTGCAGCTCACGCAAGTTGCGGATGGAGTCCAGTGGAAGACATCGGAAAACCTGCACAGTGAAGAAAAGATACTGCAGTACAACACTGGCCTAATATTACAATCCAAGCTTTTAGAACAAAAACATTTTGGATATTCATAACTAGTACATGCACCCACTGGGATCTCTGGGATTAGAGTTGTGAATGTAAATATATGGGTAATGATAGCACAGAAGTGTATGGGAGTGGTGCTATTGTCTTGAAGGCTTTACAGCAGGACTACCGCACAACCTGCAAATTACAGTAATTGCAGGTTTTGCCATAGTTTAGTCCCGCATTGAGTGCTTTTGTATCAGTTCAAATCATGTACAGGGACTTTAAATGAAAACCTTTAGTTAAAGACATCAAGTACATAAAATGGCACAGTGGGAGTGTGGAATAAATCCAGAACACATGCTCTGTCCCTCACCTTCTCATAGATGATGGCATTTGTTTGGGCGATTTTGTTCCAAACATCGTTGAAGAAATTATCACAGACTGGATCATCAATGTTCAGATTTGGGTCAGATTTTGCTCCGAGAAGTACGCTGAGGAAAAGAAGTAAATAATAAATGTATAATTTATACAGGTGCAGTTTAGTAACACAGTATTTAGAGAAGTGGTTCTTGCCATTTTACTCTTTATTGTCCAAGACAATATTAAAGGAATAGTTGCTGTCTATGCAGGGTCTGAGAGCTTTTACATTTCATCAAAAAATCTTAATTTGTGTTACGAAGATGAACGAAGGTCTTACGGGTTGGTTTGGAACGACATGATTTGAATTTTCATTTTGGGGTGAACTAACCCTTTAAAATAGTCCATGTGACATCAGTGGTCCAACCTTAATATTATAAAGCTACAAGAATACTTCTTGTGTGAAAAGAAAACAAAAATAAAGACTTTATTCATGGACTAATTTAACAGTGTCCATACTAACTTTCTGGGCCTTGAACATTTTGGTTGCATTGCTGCAGAAAGCTCTTGGATTTCATAAAAAAAAAATTATTTGTGTTCCTAAGATGAACGAAGGTCTTATGGGTTTACTCACCCTCAACGACATGAGGGTGAGTAATTAATGACAGAATTTTAATTTTTGGGGGAACCATCTCTTAAGGATTTTCAGACCAACAGTTAATTTGCTTGGTAAAACTGTTACAATGTTGCATTTTCTGAGTGGCTTGGTTCAGTTTCACAATGCAACACTTAGATGGACCAAAGCATGTTGATAAATATCACATGTGAGCAATGTCCCCTCCCTCATTGGTCAGACTGTTTATGAGCCGTTTAGTTCTGGGATTTAGTTTATTACAACATTTGTGCATTTCAGGATGAACGGCCAACAGCTCTTCTAAAACAGCTTTGCTGCACAATCTCTGTCACCATTATCTTATTTCAAACTTTAACCATATCATATCGAGAACTAATTTAATAACACTTCGTACATCTGGAAGAAAAAATACCCCTCAAAAAATCATTTAGACTGATACAGTGCACCCTTGGGGTGCCCTTTCTATAGAAAGTCTCATAAAGCAAAAAAATGTGAACTGTGAAAACTATTACACGGGGAGATTAGTGTAGAATAATTCAATCAAATCACAGGAACCAGAGACGAACATTAACAGAATCACTTGAGGTCACATCCCAAGGCCAGCAGTGAAAGGTCCTGCAGACACACGCATCATTAGAAGCATCTCATTGTTTCCCTTGGCAACCAAAAGATGTTCTGGTAGCTGGCAGTATGGAACGCAGCGTGCCAACACAAATTGCTCTGCTCACACACGCGCATACCTCTCTCTTTCACTCACACACTCCTACACAGACAGGGGAGAAGTTTCACTGCACAAACACAAATCTATCCTGGCTACAGTTACAGAACCACTCTCACGTTATACAGCTATGTTAAAGGCATTTGGTGGAGAGAAATGCAAAAAGAGCTAAAGTGATTGGCTCTTGACAATTAATGATATGGTACTTCTCTCTGGCTGTGATTGCACATAAAGTAGCATATCTTAAATTAAATGCTTTAAGTTCTCATAAAAGCCTTACTTCCTACTGATTCACATAAATAAATTGTGAGTTTTTGATTCGTCTTGAACGATTTATTAAAATAACTATCTTATAAGAGTAATTTGCTGTGAATTGAACTATACTACCATACAAAAGTTTGGGGTTAGTGGGAGTTTTTTTAAAAATACCTTTCAATTAGCAAGAACGCATTAAAGTTATCAAAAGAAACAGTAAAAATGATACTGATAATGTTACAAAAGAGTTTATTTTAAATAATGTTCTTTTGACTTTGCATGTATGAACTGTCTATTTATAAAAGTATCCTGGAAAAAAACAAAACATGGCTTCCACAAAAATATTGAGCAGAACAACTGGTTGCACCATGTATATTTGTTCCTGCATGCAGTTTGTGAGGACAGCTCAACAGAATGATGTGTTATCTTGCCATTATTTTTGGTACACAGCCTTGTTATCTTATCACATTGGATTCAGACTGAAAACTCATGCCGTGGCGCTGTAGAGTCAGTGCTGGAAATGCAGGAGGATCCAGCTTTCTGAGCCTCCATGCAACGCATGTCTAAAGAAATTTTCATTCACTATTCAAATGTCCTTGCCTTTTCCAGGCTTATTTCAAAATTCCCTCATATTTCCAGATTTTCCATGATCATAAAAATCCTGATGGGAATTTCCTAAGTGTGTTTATTTAACACTGTTTATTTTAGGTGGTGGTTGGGACTCTTTTTGACTCCTTCACAGAAAGCTTGACAACTCTGAATACATCTCTGTAGCTGCCTTGGACACAAAGTATACACACCTGAAGCACTCCTTTCGTAAGGCGAGTGCTAGTGGTCCAGCCTGGTACTCTTCTCCGTTCATGACTGAGGGAACTCTTTCCTCATCCTCCACCAGCACTGCCAGCTCACTGTCACGACTGCCTAGCATGCTCCTGTCATTGATGTTGGCTGACCCTGAAGAACATTATGAAGAATTTTGGATTTGAACAATAGGTTATACTTTAAAGTTTGGGGTTAGTGGGAGACTGACATGACACCTTCATAATCATGACATGACACCTACATAATCATGACATGACACATGTCATGAATATGAAGGTTTTTATGCATGTTTATGACAACTGTCATTAAGTGTCATTCGCTCAGTTATGTCATTTTTAATGCAAAGATGACATTGTTTGAGATGTCTTTGTTATGGGCTATGGTTAGGGGTAAGGGTAGGGTTAGGTCAAATAATGTCATATTTGCATTAAAAATCTCATAACTGAGCGAATGACACTTAATGACAGTTGTCATAAACATGCATAAAACCTTCATATTCATGACATGTGTCATGTCATGATTATGAAGGTGTCATGTCAGTCTTATGCACACCCCTTCAAGTAAAGTGTTACCGAACAATATTCCAATATTCACCAGCAGGTGGACTTTGGAGTTCATCTTCATCATGCAAATAGTAAATATCTTGGGTCAGTTATTCCCAAATCATAACCCAGGGTAACAATACCCCAATTGTATTTACTTTGCAGTCTTCAGTGTCAAATGATCCTTCAGAAATCATTCTAATATGCTGATTTGATGTTTAAGAAACCCTTATTATTGTTACTATTCTAAAAGCTGCTTAAAGGGGTCGTATTATGCGATTTCAAGTTTTCCTTTCTCTTTGGAGTGTTACAAGCTGATTGTGCATTCAGAGAAATGACAAAAAACAAGTGCTACTCTACTGCCCAAAACTCGCGTTTGAATCATCAGTGGCAACGAAAAACACAGCGGCCTACCGTGAGGGGAAGCCCCGGCTTGGCGTGTGCTGAGGCCGGGATAGAGTGAGCTGAGGCGGGCTGGACTCCGCTTTTTATAAAGAATATCTCTTTGATTTTGAGACTTTAGCCTTTGCAACTTTACAGATCTTCTTTATGCACCAAGAGCTTGTAACACTCCAAAGAGAAAGGAAAAATTGAAATCGCATCATATGACCCCTTTAAAGCATGTCAACATATTCTGTTACACCAAATACACAAAATAATGATCTTTAAAAAAGCATCATATGACCCCTTTAATACTTTTGTGGAAACCATGATTTATTTTTATTTTTTTTTTGCAATAGAAATCTTTTGTAACATTATAAACTACTTTACTGTCACTGACTTTGGATCAATTTAATGCAGCCTTGCTAAATAAAAATACATATTTATTTTTACAAATCTTTCGATTGGTAATGCACATAAAACAGGTTTGAAAGTTTCCTGGGTCACAGACACAGTCAATTGTGTCTTACTCTATTAATGTGAAGGCAAACATCTCACCTATGATGTAGCAACGGTCATCAGCGATGAGGGCTTTGCTATGGACGTAGATGAGCTCTGTTACAGGGGACTGGCCGAGCTCAGAGTGTGTGCGCAGACCACACAGAGAAATATACTGTGTCCATTCGTCCTGCACTGATGGGGAGATGAGACACTCATTAAACACAATACATGACACACCATCTGTGTGATTGGTTAATGGGTAGAATGTTATAATGCATGGCTGAAAAAACAACAACACATAAACTAAATCATTTAGAGCCACTTTTATAAGACGTGAGAAGTGAAAGTGGCAGATGGAGAACGAGACAGGATCCAAAAAAAATGTACCAGAGTGGCAGAATTACAGACAGCTAAATATGTTTCTGTCAGATACTTACTTTGCTCCTTTAATCTCGAGAGAATGGATTGTTCTCCTCGATTAATCGTTCTACACACAGAAAAAGTTCTGTTAGCAAAACATGAACAAGTGTTTTGGGTTGTGCGAGTGTGTGTATTGATGTAGATGTTTGGCTGGGCTGGTGTGTGTGTGTGTGTACCTGTAGGTGAAGTGCAGTATAGCCTGAATGGCATTTCCTCCTCCCTGGCTGATGTCACCCTCAAAGCCGGGCAGCAGAGGAATTACAACAAACACCCTGTACTTCTTCCCCTCACTATTACAATTCAAATAAAGCTTACACTTCATGCTAAAAAACACAAAGGCACTGCAGAGTACATTGTATTTCAATAAACTTGTATAATTTTTTAAAGAGGTAACAAACCTGTGAGCCCGTAGGATCCGTTTGACAATAGCATCTCCAATGGTATTGAGTACATTCTTCTGATCTGAGCAGCTGATGAAGAACTGGTTCTGAAAAAGAGGAGGCAAAGAGAGGGGTTTATTTAATTTGTCTCACTTGTTTGTGAACTATAAAACAGGCCGCTGCAAGATCTAGTTCATGGTCTTGTCCATTATTCACACGATTACTAGTAGATTTACTGCACTGAATTTTCTGTAGACAAAGACCAAGAGCTATATTTTATATGAATAAAATTCACATTATTTTGATTAATGATTAATTATATATATATATATATATATATATATATACTGTATAATTACTATTAGTTTTCAGGGGTGAAAGTGAAAAGACTTCATTTTTTAGGTGAACTATCACTTTAAAAATATCATATGTAACCTTGTTAGGATTACCTCAATAAATGAATTCTACAATTTAGCATATTTGCAGACTTAGCACATGTTTGTGATGAATAGGCTAGTATACAATCAGACAAAAAACAAAGAATACAATTTAATCCTTAAGAAAATATATAATAAATATATAAAATATATAATAATAACTGCACTTGGGAACATTCTTATTAAATAAATAAATACAATTCTAATGTCCATGCATTAAAGGGGTCATATGATGCTGCTAAAAAGAACCTTATTTTGTGTATTTGGTGTAATGAAATGTGTTTATGTGGTTTAAGGTTCAAAAAACACATTATTTTCCATATACTGTACATTATTGTTTCTCCTCTATGCCCCGCCTTTCTGAAACGCGTACATTTTTACAAAGCTCATTGGTCTGAAAAAGCGAGGTGTGCTGTGATTGGCCAGCTATCCAGTGTGTTGTGATTGGCCGAATACCTCAAGCGTGAGACG